AGGGTTCAGATCCCACATACAGACCGGTTCCCGCTCACTGGCTGAGCGAGGTGTGGGCGCAGCGCCGAGGGTTGCGATCCCGTTGCTGGTCCCGGTCTGGTACGGGCGCGACACTGAGGGTTGCGATCCGTTGCCGGACATGAAAAAAGACAAAAAGGAAAAAAAAAAAAATTCTGGTCACGGCTTCCTATCCAGAGAAAATGAACATAAACTATAATACCTGTTAGTTTCATTTTTTATATTATTTTAATGTCTAGAAAATATCTTAGTTATTGCAATAAATATTGAGAGAGACTTAGAAAACTCCAACTATGAAATAGCAAATACATGTTGAAGGCAAGCATTGAGATACCAAAATGCTTTACTGGAAGTCCAAGTTCAAAGACACATTTGTGCTCTTTCACAAAAGCTAGCATATTAACCAAAGTTCTGTTTTATTGTGTTTGGACATGTGCTAAATTTATTTAATTTTAAATAATGCTTAAAATGTGAGACTTTAAAAAACTGAGTAGAAAAAAAGCAGAAACAGTTGAAAGAAGCAGAAGGACTTGAAGCTCAAGTTGCAAAGTGCACACTTTTTAAAGCTTGGTTATTTAGAAGATTGAGTAGAATAAACTAGATAAGAAAGAGTCCAGAACACTTCCACGGATTTGCTTACCCAAGTCACCTACCGTCTATGTGTGGCATCGTGACAGTAAGCTTGATAAGGTTTGAGTAGTCTGGGTCCTCGGGGCCTGTGTAGCGCAGTTTCGCTGAGAACGGCTCTGCCCCCACTACCCCACGCACACGGGGCTGGCAAAGACCTCAAGGGAAAATGAACACATTTATGTTAACAGAAGATAATAGATAACATCTAAAGAATGTTTTAAAAATAGGCATTATTACTTTTCCACATAATTTAAAATTCTCTGTGGACTAGGGCATGGCTAAGTGTGTATGTCATAAGAAAGCAGAATATCACAGCGTGAAAGTAATCACAGCAGACAACTCAGTGGCCACTTAACATTTAGATTTTTTAAAGTTTGAAAAAATAGTTATTGTTTAATGTGATTGAATATGTGCTGGTCATTCTAGGTCATGTTCATAGTCACGAGATCATTTCAATATAAGGTGTGAACAGATACAGTAAAAATGATTGAAAACCAATAGATTAAAAGTAAGTGTAGTTACATTAAGTGAATTTGATATTTACCTTGGAATAATGTACTTATGATTAGTTATAAAATATGCATTATTTATAAGTGAATAAAACTAAAAATGCACCCATTTTAACAACAAACACTAAAGTCTTCTTAAAAATCAGAAAGCAATATTCATACAGTAGAGATTTTTCTCTCCGTATGTAATTTCTTATAATATCTGTATTATAAATGTAGTTCATTTTCTCTCTTTCTCTGTTTCTCAGTGACTCTCAAAAATTGTGACATGAAACGTGTCCTCCATTGTTCCCTTTAAGAGACAACTGTGATGTTCTCATTTAAACATCATAGAAGGAACCAAGTTGCTGAATTACAATTTCAAGAGAATTAGAAAATATGTCAATTTTTTCTATCTACACAAAAGAGAGAAAACAAACAGGTATTTGTTAGAATAGTGATGAAATCAGAGGCAGGAACTGCATCTGAGCTGTTTTATTGATAAGGACACTCATTTTAAGGCACTGTTTAATTTTTTTTGTACCGATGGTGGGAGGTGGTACACATGACTTTTCTTCATGCAACAAATGTACTTCTGAACGCTGTGTGCAAATGGAAGTTTTAGAAATAGAATTGTATGCATACAATCTTTAAAATATCTAACAAAAATTTTTCTGCAGAGTAAAGAATTAGTTTATAAAGTGAATTTCCTGCTTTTGCAATGATGTCTCCAGCCACATCCTATTCCCTGCCTCCAATGTATCCTTGGCTCTAGCCCCAAACACAACCTCCCTTGTAATAAGTAGGTATGAGTATTTGCACATACCTCTCTACCTGTCCTCTCCTGTCCCCAGCAAACTCTTACTCACCTGAGCTTTCTGACCTCCTTGCAGGACATACGCACCCCTTGTCCAGATCTGACCATACCATCCTGCTTTGTCTCTTGATCCTTTTTGCTCTCCTTCTTACATGCTTCCCCATTTTCCTGCTTTTCATTACCAAAATATTCCATGTTCTTTCATGCTTGCATGAATCATTTCTCATGTTTTATTCCTCTACCATTTTCAAGATTCAACTTAAGTATCTCCTCTTCGATGAGCCTTTCCTGACCCACTCAGGGTAGAACTAATCACTCCCACTTTTGCATTCTTGTGCCCTCTCCAGTCTAAAATTTGTCAGTGTCCTCAACTCAGGACGGGGATCCTAACTTACATTTCTTATTGAAGCATAAAGCACTGTTTTGGGGGCTCAAAAAATGTGGAACAAATAAATATTTGTTTACTAATGAATATTTGTAAGAATGGATTTTTACTTTAAAGTAGTTACACAGCATTATGGAGTAGTACACGGGACATCTGGAGGACTTGATAACCAGAAATTAGACATTCCACAGTTTTCCGCTGATCTTCATGTGCAAACGGCAGTGCCTTACCTTCTTCTCTGCTGATGGTTACAATAGGGCTCATCAGCTCCAGGCCTTCATTCCCGTTGGCGTTGACAGCACGGGCCGCACACTGCACCCGGGAGCCAGGCTGAAAGTATATGGAGTCTAATGTGATCATCTTGGATGAAGTGAAAAAGGTGTCGAAGTCCACTTCTCTCATGGGGCTGGTCACGCCATCAGGGCCTGCGGGAGCACTGATCAGCCATCGGTACCGGGTCAAAGTGTCATTGATGCTCTCACTTGCACAAATAGAGCCTGTTTTGTCATAGTCTGAATATTTGGGGTTGCAAGCCTATGGAAAACAAATAACTATATTAGGGCAACAGTATAGAACATCGTGAAATTATTCCTTTCAAGTGCTCACTGTCATGGTGATTTCACTGCTGCTTCTTTTTCCATTTCTACATGCTGTTCATGCAGCTTAGAAATTTCCAACTTCCAATTTACTTTCATGAAATCACAAATAGATTTTATGAACTCTAATCTTGCATTTCAGACAGCTTACTTGATACATGTAAAATTGTTAAGTATGTCATCATCCCTTGAACCCTAAGAGTTGCTGAATTATCCTTATTCTTTCTCTTTCCTGGTTCCTCTCTCCACCCTCCCACATCCAGCTGGTCAGTGAATTTGGTTATTCTTTCTTTGCAATGTTGCTTAAGTTAGTACCTTTCTTTCCATTCCCAATGCCATCTCCCGATCTAATTCAGGGCTTACTGTCCAGTCAAGTGACACAGTGCTGCCCTGTTAACATGCCAACATAACTCCTCTGATCATGCAAGAACTTCCTGCCACCCGAAAAATGAAGTCCCAATTCCTTCACATGACATTTAAAGGTCTCTATAATTTGGCACTAAATTACTATTTCTGCTTTGTTAATTCAGTAAACATTTACTGTTTACTGAAGGATGTTATGATATAAAAATAAGTAAGCCATACTTTTTGTTCACAAGGAGTTTATAATTTAGAGTCAAGAGAAGGCAAGTAAAAAAGTAATGATAATATGCCATTTTTTATGCTATTGCTCTAGCTGTAGCTTGCGTTGCAATCACTTCTTTCTGGAATGACCTTCTCTTATAGGACTCTTATCCTAAACTATCGAAATTCCACCTTAACATCCAAGCCTCCGTCATGGAGTTGCAGATCTAGCTCCTAATTTATACGTTGCAATCACTTCTTTCTGGAATGACCTTCTCTTATAGGACTCTTATCCTAAACTATTGAAATTCCACCTTAACATCCAAGCCTCCGTCATGGAGTTGCAGATCTAGCTCCTAATTTATATCCTTCTCATGACAACGATCATGTTTTGCCTTCTATTAATAATTCCTATATATTTTTCTCTTCCTTATTTTTAAACTCCTTGAGTGGAGTTCATGCCTTATTTATTTTTCTATCAGTGACAGACTCCAAGATAACACACTTTGTACACATCAGTTAATTAACCTTTGTTAGGTGAAGGAAGAAAAATGAGAGCTTTATTTGATTAATGCTATATTTTCCTTTTCAAAGTTTAAAGATTAAACCTGATGGTATTATCTTACTTATATTTCTTCATGAAAAAGCTCATATATATTAAATCAAGTTTATAACTATTTAATATAATTATCTTACAATATTCCTCAATTTTGTCAATTTCCTACTCACTGTGACGCAGACAACAGGATAGCCAGACACAGGCCCAGCACTCTCTTTAGCTCTGGAAGTGTCATCATACATCAGCAAGGACACAATTTGAGGGACAGAAGGAAAAGTGACATCTGCCATGCTGTTCATTTCTTCTATATATACAATGGCTTTGGTCACCTAGAAGAAAAAGATAATTATCACTGATTAGTGAAATATTAGACTTTTGGTGCTTTTATTTACAGAACAATACTTACATTGCCTGGAAAACCCACGGCCTCATCATGAGGAAATTTGTCACACCCAGAACCTCTGCACAATGATGGGCCTTATATGGTTTGTTGCACTTGACCCTGGTACCTTGTTCACATCCTGTGGTTCCAGGGGAGGGCGCCTGAGCCTCGGGAAGCTAATCTGAAGACTGACCAGCGGCCCACGAGGTATTTGGGCTCTAATTCTTCTCTCCAATTGTAGTAATAGTAGCTAAATCTGTCTTGGGCTTGTGAAGAGAAAGTTCTATGAAAAAGTCAATTAGCTAACAGTGGGAAGAAAGCTGAAAGGCAGATCTGTGAAAGGGAGATCACAGAGGTCATGGGATGGTTAGGGCCATGAAGAAGCAGATACCAGTGATAAGCAAAACTTTAAAGGCATTGCCTGAAGCACAGGCAGCAGGAGAATTTGAGTTTCATACAGAAGAGGAACTGGGAGCATCTCCTGCCAGGCAAGGTGACAAGAACACGTTGCTATAAATTTGCTCTGGCTCCCGAATGACCTTTCGATATCTGGCTACATATCACAGTTTCCCAGCCTGTATTTACATGTACATTCTTAAAAGAAACTTTTTTTTTTTTTTTCTTTTTGTCTTTTTCCGTGTCCGGCAACGGATTGCAACCCTCAGTGCTGCCCCCGCACCGGACCGGGGACCGGCAACGGGATCGCAACCCTCGGTGTTGCTCCCGCGCCTCGCTCAGCCAGTGAGCGGGAACTGGTCTGTATGTGGGAGTAGCAGAAATACCATCAAGCATAAAGATTACAAAATGATAAAATACTTAAGAAAAAAAATGATCTCACACTAATAGTGAAACAAATAATAAAAGCTGTCTAGTAAAGTGAAGCATAGATGTAAAATTTGAGCTGTTCCTAAAATGACATGTAGTTTTAAAAATTATTTTCAGTGTAAAGGTTAAAATTCTGTGGAAATTGTGTTTATCTTGAGGAAAATCTGGTTCATGATACAGTGTAAGTTAAATAAGCACAGAAAACGAGTTTTAGGGCTGTAACATTTTGTCATGAGGCTCTGGACATCAACTTCTGATAGAGCTAGAAGAAACAGGTGCGGATTTTGAGGTTTAGCAAAACAGTTTTGTGGGTTAAAATGCATGTTTTGATGAATGCAGCACCAAGTCTCATCTTTGTGCTGGGGTGATGCTTTCTCTCTGGAGGTTAGTCTCAAGTTCAACCATGACTGACTGATGTGGGAAAGGGAAGCGGGCTGATGTGGGGGTCAGTGAATCTAGTCCTCGAGTTTCTACAAACATTAATATTCAAAGAAAGAGACATGAATTTCATGATTATGATCTAATCAGAACACTATTTAGGCAGTGAAAAGCGATTGTGCACATCCTTTTCATGTAAAGCTTGTACAAAGTATCATTACTTCATTGTACATGACGTCATTGCTTATATATATGCATTTTCTTGGATAAAATGCTGGCCATAAATTTATATACATGTGTATTACTCACCTGCGTTTCTGCTATCATATTTTCATCAGGTTTTAGGTGAACAGTGAAG